CGCATAACCGTGTACTCTTTAGGTCTTTTTTTATATAAACCTCGCTTCCTATATGGATTGTGTTGACCGAGAATCAAAATTAGTTTGTAACACATTCAGGTTTCGAAGCGTAGGTGACAAATCCGGAAACAACACGTTGTAGTAAAATGTTGTCGAAGACCTTTGAGTGACGTTATAAAATAAATTTTGGTGAAGTATTTTTCCTATGGTTGATAGATGTAAGATTTGATAATACGATAGCTGATCTTCATAATTCTATGCTTTTAAGATAATAGATTATGATACGGTTGTGTTATACAAAAAATTTGTTGTTTTATATATATTCCACCATTTTCACCTATTGAGAAACAGTTCCCTTAAATAGTACACATAAGCATCACAACCAAGTGGGAATGCAAGAACCTCTCATAGTTTCTAACCTTTTTGATAAACTTTAAAATAATACGATTCATTCAATTGTAATCCTTTTAAGAAATCTATTGGAATCAAACTATAAACTTTCATTCCTCCAAACAAATCATATATGTGGATGAATGTGTTCTTCGGTGGAATACAATGCAGGACTATGTTATTGGTGAAACTTACATCTTTTATACTTCATACTTGTGATGTAACTTTTAGGTACTTATTTTACTTAGTAACAATTCTGAATTCATTATCTGTCTAAAAATGTATTTATTCTAAATGCAATCTTTTTTGACTAGCAGTTTAAACTTATGAATATAAAGTCCAACGAGAATCTATTCAACGAGAATATTTACATTTTTATGTTTTATATAGAGAAAATGTCAAATAACTAGGGTTTTAAAGTTTATCTATAACAATTTTAACTACTTAGATATTTCTAGTAGTTAAAAGACGGACTATAAAAACGAACAAAAAAAGCTGTTATCAAAAAATATGCCGTTTACTGTTGAGACAAAAATGACGACTCTCTGAGTGTTATTCTTTTGAATTACTGTAACTTATTGCTTCTAATTGTAGTGTTGGATGAATTCTACTCCAAATCGACTTGAAAATATTTTTTATAGGTTTAGTGGAAAGCCTACTTTATTAAATTCATCAAGTCGATTGTGGGGTACATATGATTATCGATAAGTAATCTTAATCTATAATAAATGTTAAAAAGTAATGGTTTGTAATAAATCATAGACCAAAATTTTATTTGTTATGCTGTTAACTATAAAATGTTTATTAACTCAAAGGCAGCTATTATCTGATTAGTTAGCTTATCCTTTGAATTATTAGCTAAGTCTGCAACACGAACATGGCGATGGTTTGCACTTAATGCAAATATACATTATACCCTAGTTACCCTTCATTTATATAATAATTTTTTAGTACCGCAGTTACAAACCCTACTTGGTAGACTAGTAAAGGAGGAACACATCGTGTAAATGACCACAGATAAACCAGCCAGATTAGGAGAGAAGGTTAAAAAGTTTACAAAACTGTCAATTGTGGGAATTTCGAGCATATATACAACCAGTCAACGATCTGTATTAGTTCATGATCAATAAAGTGTACTTGTAAAGTGTTTTTTACTCATCCACTAGGAACCAATCTGATTAGTCATAAAAACATAAAACTATTGTGAATGTTTCAAGAAAATGATTGATTAGTTTGTTAACCCAGCTTTACTCAACATTGAATCCATAATTTACATTGAATTTAAGAATGAAGTTTTACTGAAAGGCATATATTAAAGAAGCGAAACATAAAGGATGATAGAAATAATTTCCTCAGGTATCGAACAAAAATAACCAATGAGTGAACTAAATTGCTTAGATCATTTCCAGGTAAAATCAACACTATATCTACATTATCATCTTTAGTGGTGATTCTGAAATTGAGGACATCAGAGATGATTAGGAAAAAGTGTAAGCAAGATTATTATAGTGATGCAAATAGAGTATTACGAGTTACGATCTATTCATTGAGTAACTAGATGATTTGAATTTAGATACTACATATTCACAATTTACATTATGTAATAACTTTAATTAAACAACCACTGAAAATTAAAAATCTCAAGACCGTTACTTTACTCTAATACACAACCTTCGGCAATAATCTTAAGCTAATTATTGGATAACTTCGAAAAGTAACTCTCGGAGTAACGACGAGAAGCCGTGATTAGTAATCAGATCAGTAACTGCAATTTAGAAAATCTTTGTTTGCAAATAATTAAACTCATAAATGACAAGTAACTAGATCAGGTGCATTTCCTCAATGCATTTTGACAGTGTAATTAATTTAGTTCTATATTTTCATTTTAAACAATCGGAAAACCATTGTATGTAGTATGATTTGATTAGTAGTAAATAGGAGAAACTACTTTTTTTCTAAAAAAACATTTTACTGATAGATAGGCCTATTATCCACGTTTACAAGTGTTAGGTTTATAACACAATAGTATTCATTCTTATTTAGTTTTTGGTAACTCATTAAAAATCAAGCACTTTTACCATTAATTCATTGTTTGTCATAATTTGAGTGTTAAATTTTGAAAACTGATTGAGGTGATAAAATATATTTTCCATGATTAAACAAAATACACACATCGATGTATTTAGGCTACATAAAGCAGACTTTTATTCCTTGGAGAATTGAAATTGAAGTTTTTTTTAATTATTTTTAAACTTTCTTTTCAAATGCCCGTAAAAAGAATTCAACTATCAAATACTTTTAAGTAATGGACTTAAACTTATTTTTATAAACAAAGATGGATAGTGGCTAGAAGTGGAATCCAGGACGCACTGTTCGTCCTATTTGGAACTCGTCAGCTGTATGTACCTGCATCACAGAGTTGATGTTCACTATGGGACTCAAACCCAGTACCGTTGGCTTCAAACGCCATAGCGTTATCCACTCAGCTGCTTAGCTAAATATCAATGAGAAGATACAAGTAAAACAACACCAAGTGAGTTTATTTTTATAAAGTTTGAAATTCTGTTTTATATTCAGGAAGTTTGTTTAAATTAAGCAAGTCATACAATTTACATAATTATTTTCCCCAAAAAATACTTGCCAAGATGATTATCTCAGAATTGTTGGTAATTAAAGGATAATAATCCGCGATAGAAAACAGTTTAATTTGGTTGCGCTAAACATCCTTAAGTTAAAATATTTAACATTGAAGGGGTTTAACTAAAGTTTAAAAAATTGGAAAGCTAAACTGGCAAAGTTATATTGATTATGTAGCAATAATAAAACTATTGGTTTTATTTAAACAACTTGGAAAATGAAATGAATAATCTTATTCTAAGCGATTTAAAAAAATATTATCGACTGCTGTAATCTGTGTTATCAACATATGAGGTGACATTATGATTTATGGACAATATTTGAGCAACGCTAAAGTCACCCAAAAATGTCCACCTACTAACTAGGACGAAATGTGGGTTATAAACCAATGTGAGAAAATAGAATTATGATTTACAGTTGATGGTTAATGTTAGGAATGAGATTTAAAGTTTTCATCACTAATTGATATGAGTTAAAATGCCAAAACGCTATTTGACTAAATGTATGAATGAACTTCGCGTCAGAATCTATGACCTGTTATCTTATATCTGATTGGTTCGTTGATAAATGATAGTCTTGCCACATATGAACTCGTAAGTTGGTTAGGAGAATTTTTAAGTCTATTAAGAATGAACTGTGTAAATTTTAGTTAACCGTTGTTGATGAATATTGCAGTTTCTTAAGCGATATCAGGGTTCAATATAAAAACTGAAAACAATGGTGTACGGTGGCACGATTTCGTGGATTGGTTGAAGCTCTACATTAACACCATTGGATGCTTGCTCAGTGGTCTAATGGTTAAGTGCTCGCGCGCAAGACTGATAGGTCCTGGGTTCGAATCTAGCGGGGCCGGGATAGCGGTTGCGCACTGCCGAGGAGTCCCATACTAGGACGAAACGGCCGTCCAGTGCTTGCAGGTTTTCCATGGTGGTCTAGCTTCAATTGACTCACGATTTCAACTGATGAAATATAAAAACGTTTAATACTATGATATCTGTATAAGATAACCAGTCAATAATAATCCTAAACCGATGGACGGTATTTTTGTAATTTTCCTCTACCCTCCACGTGTCTGTGGCCGTTGCGTCAAATTTGATGTATTAAATGAAATTGAACTGTTAAAGTAGAAGATAGTCATGTATACAGGTTACATGCTTGTTAGCTTTGATGATCCAAAAATTGCTTGCAACATTATGATGGTCATAGTTTACCAAACGAGGAATCCGATATATTTGTATTGGCTTCAATTAGTGAGAAAGGATCACTACTAAAAAGTAGAGAATATACAGCGATTACTTTTTAGTGGTCTAGTAGAAGAAAGGAAATGTGGAAATTACGATAATATGACAACTGCATATAGTCATTAAGAGACTCTGTACCTAGGTGTCGTGTTAGTTGATATTTGTCAATGAGGTATACCTATGGCTATGAAGAAATCGATGCTCAATGTAGAACTTGGATCTGAGTAACCAACGCGACAGGATGAGAAGTTGCCAATAAGCTTGATGGGCTGAGACTGATACTTTGTAGGACTGAGATATTTACTCATTGATTAGTGTTACATTATTCTAGTCCTTTAATTTTGAACGCGATGTTAAGTCAATCGAACTAGTGGTCATATCGTAATTTAATTAATGGAATTCAATGCACACTGAAAGAATAGACAAATATGACATTGGCTAATATTGGATGAAAAATCAATTGTATGCAGATATACGTTCTCGGCTTTAAGTTGAACTGTATAAAAGCTAATGATAATATCCAGTTGATCAAATCAATACATCTGTATTGAAGTTTGAACTTGTTGGTCAGTAAATGAAAGCTTTTAATTTTTCTATTCTACTTATTATCAGTTATTAAATTTTCTGAGTGATATCCTATTTTTTATTTAATTTTAAATATGTAAATGATGAATAATCCTTTTGAGATGGTGAAGGAGATTTGTAGCTCAGTTGAATGATTTTGATAGAGTATTATTCTGTGAGTAGGATGATTTTGATTGTGGAGCTTTCAACATTCTTCTGAACGTCATCATCATCATCATCATCATCATCATCATCATCATCATCATCATCATCATCATCATCATCATCATCATCATCATCATCATCATCATCATCATCATCATCATCATCATCATCATCATCATCATCATCATCATCATCATCATCATCATCATCATCATCATCATCATCATCATCATCATCATCATCATCATCATCATCATCATCATCATCATCATCATCATCATCATCATCATCATCATCATCATCATCATCATCATCATCATCATCATCATCATCATCATCATCATCATCATCATCATCATCATCATCATCATCATCATCATCATCATCATCATCATCATCATCATCATCATCATCATCATCATCATCATCATCATCATCATCATCATCATCATCATCATCATCATCATCATCATCATCATCATCATCATCATCATCATCATCATCATCATCATCATCATCATCATCATCATCATCATCATCATCATCATCATCATCATCATCATCATCATCATCATCATCATCATCATCATCATCATCATCATCATCATCATCATCATCATCATCATCATCATCATCATCATCATCATCATCATCATCATCATCATCATCATCATCATCATCATCATCATCATCATCATCATCATCATCATCATCATCATCATCATCATCATCATCATCATCATCATCATCATCATCATCATCATCATCATCATCATCATCATCATCATCATCATCATCATCATCATCATCATCATCATCATCATCCTCATCATCATCATCATCATCATCATCATCATCATCATCATCATCATCATCATCATCATCATCATCATCATCATCATCATCATCATCATCATCATCATCATCATCATCATCATCATCATCATCATCATCATCATCATCATCATCATCATCGTCATTATTAGTATACACTTCAGATAGAAGAATAATCCATGATAAAACAAATTATTTCTTGTATCATTATCAAAATAATAATTTAATGTTGAAATTTTATGTTCACTTCTTTTCATTTAATTATAAATGTAACCTTCTGTTGTAGAACAGAAAACAAGCTATCAAATCACATGACTTGATATTGGAATTTTCAGAACATTATAGATCAGTTATTTTCGGTTTATACCATAGAATGTATATACAGTTAGAAGAAACAATAGTCTTACAGGTTTTTATTTGATATTTAACAGGATGTTATATTGTTAAATTGAAATTAACATAAACCAAATGTGATAAAACAACAAACATAATCAAAATGTTGAAAATGAGGAAAGAAAAAATTATAAATGGCTGTATCCATATTTCTTAATTATTTGAACAATGAATATAATAGAACATAATGAATGAGAGATTATCATTGTTCTATGTCAAATATTTATCTTCATTTAATACTGTACTGAAGTGATTCAATAAAGGTTTTGGACAGTTTATAAGTTAAGTAAAAGGAAATCGATGAACAGATTGAGAAATGCTCATTGCTGGTTAACATAAAGATGGATTCTATTGAATTTTAACTTTGTAATCTATGAGTACTGGATTGTCTGTATGGAGTTTTATTATTGGAATTCTTTAACTAGAACAAAATAACTGGTTTGTATGTTTACACTAATATGAGGTATTGAGTAGGAATTTATAACAAATTAATCACTGTCTTATTAGAATGACTTTAATTTCTAAGCTACTTGGCTTTTATACTAACTAATAGAGAAATTGTACCGTAGTACATAGAAATAATGAATCATTTTCTATTATAAGAAAATGTATTAGAATGTTTAAAGAGATTTGACATATTTTCAATGTATTATTAACTTAATATAATATTAATCATATTTTTTATTCATAAATAGGTTATTTCATTCTATGCAGTTGTTTTGATTGTTTGAAAGGAAAAAGAAATATAACAAGCAACCAACCTATTGTAATGTGTGCTACTAATGTCGATAAATATAAGTAGTATGTATCATCAGTCGTAAGTGGAATACTTGGAGGCAGAAGATTAAAAAGATCGAAGGAAATAGATTGAGAACAGAGAATGATTGGTGTGAAAACGATTGAATGATATTTTGCGAATGAAGAATTTACTGTATGGTTCTTAGATTTTGCTAAGAGGTTCTGTAATTTGTGTGTTCAAATACATTCGATTGTCTTCACTTGTGTTCTCATTCACTACACTATTATCACTTCAAATATTAGTTCTAAATTGTTTCTACCTGGTTTGCATTTCAGCGTAAATTTATGTTTAGAGCATTACAGGATATTCAATTTTCAGTGCATTTGAACACATTGTGAGTGAAATTGTATAATTAAAGAAACAGTTAGTTTTCACTGTTTTGATATTTCTTCCATAAACTTGTATTAGTTGGAAAAATATATAAATAAACAAAGGCCTCTAATTACTTTCAACTATTATAACTTGTGTCGTACTAACAAACAACCACTTAAAATTATTTTGACAATTCAGTTCGTATTTTTATAATACAAAATTATCACGACTGCATTCTGATTGATTAGCTGATGGGTATTGTGGTCAATGGGACGTCGTAGTAGCGTACTTCCGAGAAGTTAAAAACCAGATGTAAATAGCTGTCTAATGGTCGTTGGTTTTTAGTATTTCTCCAGATAGCATCAATTTCTAACAAAAGCTATCCTTGAATATATACATTTGATGCGCGTGCCTGTTGGTCGTTTTGTACAGCCGGAGCAAATTAAAAAATGTACGACTAAACTGTATAATTTAATTGATCTTTTGAACATAGAAATTTGTTACAATATTAGGATCACTGAAGTCCATGACAGAATAGAATAAGATAGAATAGGTATAAATATTAATAAAAATGAAATTTTTAAATAGAGTTATATAGGGTATCTAATTTTGCAGGAAATTACTTTATTTTACGATTAGGATCCTAAGATATCAAACGTAAACTAATAAAAATCTGATGCAGTATATAGTACAACACCAATTAACATTTACCTTAATGGTTACCCATGAGAAAAAGATATAACAGAATTCTTAGATTTATCATTTGGGTATCTATCCAAATATAATGTTTAGCCTTTAGTAGCTATGCATCTTGTCTGAATGTGCCTTATGCATTAGAGGAATGTGCGAAGCATTGTATGATAGGATTCGGGAGAGAAAAGAACAAGGGTAAGAGGGATCCTACAATTTTGTTAGCACATAGCATTCACCTACAATTAATAATGAAAGCAATCGAAAACAGACGGAAATAACAGAAGTTTGAAATTAAGGCAATCTGGTAGTTGAAATTTAAAGTTGATAGTGTAAGGCTTCGAATGTATTATAAAACATAATAAGTACTTGATGTGTTAATGTGTTTGCTTCAATAAATAAACAAATAATTTAGAATAATTCACTGATCGAAATCGCATACTTAAATTTACAAAAAATAGTTTTTCGGTACCGAATCAGTGCTCACAATGTACTTAGCTGTTGATCGAACATGAAAACACTACACATTAAACTATACACTAGAAAAGTCATATATTATAGCAACTATCCTACAACCGATTTTGCTTAATTTCGGTTAACTTACTTTACAAACTATGCTATTTGAACAGTAACAATTTGTCTATTTTTTTGTACTGTTATGATTACTAGAGCACATGATAGACTCTAACTAAAATGTTGATCGCTTAAATATCACTCGATGATTTATCCTACTCCCTATGTATATATGTATTCAAATCCTGTTATTAGCTTATACTTTGTCCTGCTGTGTCCTTATGCGATTTGATTATAAATTTGCTTATGTAATTGCTCAATATACTTATTCGCCTCTCCGTTTCAAATACGCTCGATGTGCTTATAGCTTTGTAATCTGCGCTATCCACTAATAAACTGTAGTTAACGCTTATTATTGCTTTCTGATTATCAACACCGTTGAAATTTATATTCTAACGGTTACGAGGGTGATTGTGTAAAAAAGCAAAGCCACCACATTGATAAACTAACTATTTAGAACGTGTCATCATGCTTCTACAATGATCATAATGATCATCAATAAGTTCTAGAGAAAAGTTGAAATATGTAAAAAAAAATTCTCATTGACATATACAACTTCGATTCGATTTTGTTTATTAAGATTTATCCCTATAATAAAATGAAAATAATGTTCACCTCTTAATAAATTGATTTCTTATAAATTTATTTACTGTTTCTTCTTGTCTAATCACAACAGAAGTTCATAGATGAACGGTTACATTCAATTATTCATAAGTACCATTCGTTTATTGTTATTATTTTTTTTATTTTTTTTATTATTATCAAACTTTATGGAGAGTATAGAAAATGAGTTGGTATTTAAAGAAGTCCTTCTTTAAATCAATAAAATTTTATTATTATTATTATTTCTTCAATTGATTAGATTACTTTAATGTAAGTAGTATGAAGTATATTTATTAAGATGAATGAAATATTTATTCAGATGAGTCTTTTTCAATTTCTTTTTTTTTAGCAAAACATTTCACTGATTTTGTACTTTGTCATTCAGTTGGTAATTCTTTTTTTTAAAAAAAAATAGATTACTGTACCTAAGTCGTTGGTAAATATCATTCTTGAGTTATTGAAAATGTTGGATAGATTAATTTATCTGAACATTTTAGGACATACTTACGTGATTGTTGCTTTCCATCGAATTGTAATTTTATGTGTATACTAATGAACTCTGTCACTATTAGCAACAACGTACTGTGGGAGAGAACAAACCAGATCCCAGCGGAGGAAGAAATCAGAAAGAAGCGCTGGAAGTGGATAGGCAGACATTGAGGAAAGCACCCAACTGCGTCACAAGACAAGCCCTCACATGGAATCCTCAAGGCCAAAGGAGGAGAGGAAGACCAAAGAACACAATACGCCGAGAAATGGAAATAGACATGAAAAAGATGATTTAGAATTGAATGGAACTAGAAAAGAAGGCCGAGGACAGAGTGGGTTGGAGAATGTTGGTCGGCTTACTATGCTCCATTGGGAGTAACAGGCGTAAGTAAGTAAGTAATGAACTCTGTGAATATAATCGGCTTTAATTGTTATTAAAATGTCATACTTGTGAAAAAGTTCTCAATTATAATGAATTAATTCATCTAATTATTTGGAAAAAGCAACTATGGATGATTTTTTTAAGTCACTAAATGAATCACTGGTAACATTTTCGACTAGCATAAAGTAATATAAAGTTATGTCTTACAATTAGTATCATTTGTTTTAGGATTAGGAATGTGCCTAGTTGAGAAGCGCTAATTAGCAATTTTCTATGCGAATGTTTGTGACGAAGTTTTGTTCTCTGAGATGGATGGTTCAGTGTTGGAGCATTTATCGTTATTTCGGACGACATTATTCGGAATAACGATGAAAGCTCCACGACTAAACCATTCATCTCAAAGAACAAAGCTCCACCAAAATCCATCTGAGCTACAAATTTTCTCCACTATTCTATAGGAACGTTCATTTAAAGTAATTTACCAATACTTAACCAGTGTCACAGAGAAGATCAAATTACTTTTAATGTTAGAGAATTAGTTTTATTTTTACAAGATGTACCAAAATATGTGTAGTTCAGGACATATGAAAATGGGAAGTAAATTCATCACTTAAAACAATAAATAGAATGACGAAAATAATAGCCAAATCTAACAACTATATTTGCGATAATTTTTCATCTAGAGCTGCATATCAGTATCAATGGAATTTTATCATAACTAATTAAAGTTTACATTTACCAAATTGTTGGTACCTATTTTGTGGGGGAGTTAGCATAGTCGGTAGAACATTTTGTAACTACTATCATGAATTTTCCTCACGCGAAAATTGTTTCTCTTCAGATATAATATTTGTTTACATTCACTGTGATTTAACCTCCGTTTTGTTGGATTATTACATGTGTGAGAAGGCACAAGACTGCGACAAATTCAAGATTATTCCATATATGTAAATGGGTAATTATGTATGGCCTGTTAATGAATTACAACAAGGTGTACAAAAGCCAACAGACTAGTGTTTTTTTTCATTTCTGCATCTCATTAAATAAATGTTAATTCTTTTAAGTATTGTTGTTAATTCTGACGAAGAATGATTCACCATATTTCTTTTCCTTAGAAAAACAAAATTCTATCTCATGAAATGCTTATTTTAAGAAAAACTAATTTACATAATTCATCTTTATATTTATGTCATGTATAGACGCGATACACAAGACCGATTCAACTAACTTCAGTAATCATAATCACAAGTATAGTTGAAATATGTCACGAAATTGCGTATTAATTATATTATCATAAATGGAGTTAGATTGAAGCAGATTATACAGAAATATTTCAAAAAAAAGAAACTTTCAGGAGAAATTCTTACAGTAGTAAACAAATTATAGCTTTCATTCTATGCAATGCTTATATGGAAATATGATGTAATTTCATACTATCATAATGAAAGGTAACCTGTTTATCTGACAATTACTAGCTAAAAAATATTATAAAAATTATCCATAAAAACAATTGAATATTCCTGCTACGAAACTTAATGAATTTACGACAAATTGGCATCACTGATCACAATGATCGATGATTGATTATTTCAGATAACTAAGTAACAAACAAAATTAGTCATATATTTTCAGAGGGTTATATTTTATTTAGATATCATCAGGATACCAGAATAAATAAATCAGTACATTAACACTGTCAATACAAAATGTTTACCAATTGAGCTAAGTCGGTTTGAATCAATGCATAGAAGGTATGGGCTTATGAGGGTAAACAACAGAGTACACATATTTTTGTGAATGCAAATTTCACGTGTCAACTACTGAACGTGTGAAATTACGATGCTGTTTATTTCTTCATAATTATTACTAAGTTAAATCCTCAAGAGCTATGCATTTATTGTTTAAAGTAATGATTTAGTAAGTACAGAAATGGTTGTAAAATAGTAATCTTTCGTTTAGTTTAGTAGATATGTATCACTTCATAATAATTTGGTCTTAGGAATTAAAGATTAAATGGGCCGGACTGTCTTAATATTTGTATTGAATTCAGAATCACAATTGCACAGCTTTTGTGTATTGATTGACAACCTTATATACTGTAATTGACTTATTAAGTACATGTTTATCAGTCTGTACATCACGGGTTATTGTTATGTAGGAACTAGTGATACTGTTGTAGTGAACGATAATACAAGTGAGGACAGTTGAATGTATTTGAATACAAAATTACAGAATGTCTAAGTAAAATCTGAGAATCATACAGTAGATACTTCATTTGCAAAATGTCAATCAATCGTCTCAAACTTGACTGTTCCTTTGCGAATGTCAATGAATTGCCTCAGACATCACTGTTCCTTCATTTCCGTACCAATCGCTTTCTGTTCTCCTTCTATGCTTTTCGACCTCGTGTTGCCAGATATTCGATTCCTGACTAGTATTATATACTACCTATGTCGATATAAGTAGCACACACCACACTATCTGCTTACCAAAATCGAAGCAGATGGTTGTTTTTTGAACATCTACTTTATTAGTTAAAAGCTAAGCGGATTAGTAGCTATTCTAATATTTCATACAGAAACATTTTCATGAATTCAACACTCAGGGGACATTACCAGTAGTTTCAAGTGAATAGATTTGGATCGGTATGCTCTATATGTTATGGAAATCTATGATCGATATTCATTTACTGCATGTTTTATATACTGACTGATACTGATTTAATTGGTCAAATAAGTAAACTTATCATGGAAAAGACTTGTTAATAGTTCTTTCCTAATAATATACACAAAAACTTCCAAATTCAAAATACCAGAAGAAAGAATATTTGCTCTCAAATCATTCAGTAAGAATTCTTTAACATATATAAGGCTGCTTATTTGTTTTAGTATGATGTCATTTTTTTGCTTATTTTTTGTCAATGCTGTTTTCATTGAGATAGATAGTGCAACTGTAAAGCTTTTGTTGTCATTCTGAACAGATTCGTCAGAGCTTATTCCATGTAGAAGTGAGCTTTTTAGTTATCACAGAAGTATAAAATCTTTTTTATATGACGGTTATTTCCACAGATTTTGAAGTCGTCATTCATCCTTGCAGCCTTGTCTACTGTTTTATTTGACTGAAATCTAGTCATACATAAAGAAAACATTATCAAAATCATGCATCTGAGCTGCTAATTATCGCCATCATTAGAGAATTGATTAAAAGGTTTAAATCGAGTTCAAGTTGTGAACGAAAGTTATATGATAATTATAGACATTAATATACAGAACATTTCTATAACTGGGTCGATCAGTACCCAAGCTCTGAAAACCAACCAGTTTAAAATTTTAAATTATGAGCTTGATGTCAGAATCGCGTTTTAAAACAAAATAGTTAATGTATTCTTAAACATAATGAGTAATTCGACTTTGAAACAAGTTTCATGTGTTACAGTTTCACTAAAATTTTGAAGCATCCTAAAGCATGGTTAAAGTTACGTATTTATTTTGTATCTGTGGCTCACTATGATGTTCAGATACATCAATTGTTTGCTTAGTAGGACAAGCCCTAATAAATAAATCACCTCTTGTTCAATAGATCCGATTATATAGACTGGCCTTCTTTTCTTCGTACTATTAAAACTAACTGGATCGATCTCTGTTCTGTAATATAATTCTAATGAGAAAACCTTTTGGTTTTTTTAATAAACTTCAAAGTATATCCTATTCAATGCATTTTATCAAGTATAAATTGGTTGTGATAAATTTGACAGATATTATGTCTATTTCAAAACTATGAATGGGCTTTTTGTACGTGAGTATGTTGAGAATTTGTATAGTAATTACGATGAAATAGTAGAGAAAAGAAGATAGTTTGTGACATTTAGACAGATTATAAAATAAATGTTTGTTTTTTCTGTTCAATATCTGTTTGTTTTTGATTACTTTTCTTTTACATTCTAATTTCATCTCTCATAAATTCTAGTTTTGTCTCATTTACATATAAAAAGAAACATAGTACTTCAATGCTTCTTCATAAACTAATACGGCGAGACTATAATTCATAGACGAGCCAATCAGATATAAGATAACAGGTCATGGATTCTGACGCGAAGTTCATTCATACATTTAGTCAAATAGCGTTTTGGCATTTTAACTGATATCAGTTTGTGATGAAAACTTTAAATCTTATTCTTAACATTAACTATCAACTGTAAATTATAGTTTTAATTTTCTCACACTGGTTTATAATCCATATTTCGTCCTAGTTAGTAGGTGGACATACTTTGGGTCACTTCAGTGTTGTTCAAATATCATCCATTAATTCTAGTCTCACTATTAATACTCTGTAAAACCAGAATTTAGATGAATTACTTCTATTTGTTAGATTTACACAAAGTAAGTACTTGCCATAGATAATCTTACTGACTGAAAATTCCTTGTATATTTTATTAATTCTGTTGTAATTCAAAAAGCATTTTAACAATGACGTTGATTGTAGACTAGAAACAGGAAATAGAACAATGAAGTCAGTGATAGAATGTAATTTCATTGTAATTAAAATGTTTTTGATGAAAATAAATTATTATTAATTTGTCTAAGACAAAAATATATTTAAATTTGGCACATTAGGCGACAGATATTTATACAAGCAATGATTGGTTTAAATCTTATTTTAAAAAAATAATAGTCACCGAATATGTGCATTATGCTGAGTAAAGTCTGATATAAATGACATAAATAATTTGGTTTACGCTCTAACAATTTTCGATAATACGATTTAAAACTATATTAGGTACTATTGGTAGTCTTAGTCTACAGATTGAGTTATGAAATGTCAACACCACCTAGAAATGAATCATATATATATATATATATATATATATATATATATATATATATATATATATATATATATATATATATATATATATATGCAGCTAATCAGGGTTGAATTTTTACGGTTGTAAAGATTCTGTCTTCAAATGGATTTAAAACAATTAGTCCCCTTGATAAATTTCGATAATGCAATGAGAAGACGTAGTTTATCAGAATTATGTGATATATTTGCGCAATACATTTCGAACAATCTGATCACACATATACTTGTTAAGAACATTTATATATGAAAAATTAAAAGGTCAACTAGACAGGTTAAGGGTAAGTCATAACAAAGGAAAAATATTAAAGTACACAAAAACAAATGTGATTACCACTCTGGATAGTAAATCAGTACTACCAGGGTAGGTTAAGTGTAAGTACAAATTGTTTTTGAACACATAAAGGGGGTTTCAATTTCCGAAATTGTATTGCGCAAATATATCACATAATTCTGATAAACTACGTCTTCTCATTGCATTATCGAAATTTAAAATGGATTAAAAATGGTTGATAAGTTGAGTTTAGTGATTTAAAATGTAACACAATTTTTTGATAGTAGGTCATTTTAAGAGAAATTGTATGAGTGGTCGATTCTGAGCACTTACATTTGGAAGGTTCATCTGCTTGCTGGCTTAACTCCGTGTACATTATGTGTTAATTTATGTAGCTCTCAGAATTATTTACTCTGTTGATTCAGGCAAACTTTAGACTAACTCATGGAAGTTAGTTATAAATAGAAGATATTTATATACCATTCACATTCAGAATCTCTGACTGTATAGTGAATCAACAGTAGTAATAATTTTCAAGGAATCATAATTAAGTTTGCTCTAAGATGACAATTATCGGTTAACACTCAGCATTGTAATCTTAAGGTTGTTTTCTAATTAAAAACGTTTATTCAGTGAATGTACTACAGAACTGTTTAAATGTTCCTGATTGTTATATTACTTAAGCAAAGTGATTGTCTTTTATAAACAACTAGAAGGCAACGTAATATAGTTGGAATTATTAAAAGTATATGATCTAATATGATTACATCGTAAATATTTATTTTAAACAATATTTTTTATAATGCAAGCTGAAAATAAATATAATGTTCATCAGTGATGAAGGCTAGGACCCTTAAGTCTCAAAACAAGAGTGTTTTTACTTTTGAACCTAATAGTAGGAATCCTATAGCTAAACATTCCAGAGCGAACATGAAGGAAATTGTTGGATGGAGGACGAATGCATCTGTACTTTCTTTTTGAGTTACAAACTATAAACAAGAATTTCAGTACCATGTGATTATTTGATATGATCATGAAAAGAAACATTTTTTGTGAAGCTGGTAAGTAATATGTACTTATTAATTTTTATAAAAACAATGATTGGAAACATTTAGATAAAGCATAATAAAAAATAACTGTTAAAATAAACAGAAACTTCGTTAAAATTGTATAGTGAGAAGAAACTCAACACTATTTGTGTATTCATTTATATGTAGAATTAATAACGAGTAATCGAACCTTTCAAGCACAAACCTAAATCTTACCAAAATTATGACTTATAAGTACCATATCAACAAATCTGTAATGAATATATATCGTTAGATATAGTCTTATATGGTGGTTCAAGGCATATTCACCCCCAACTTTTGATGATTATAATGAAATATATATATATATATATATATATATATATATATATATAATGATTGTGGACATATTTTCTGTGACAGTTGCGGAATAACCAGTGATGTAATGCTAGAGGACTTATCCTAAGGTATCATTGGATAGCTGAATACATCAAAGAGACATCATTTGTCTACCAAGGTTTCTTCATCCAAAATTCAAAGGTCGTGAAAATCAGTGACTCAGAATGCTTTAGGATACAGTTTGGTATTCCGGTCTCATTTGATTATGTTGTACTCTTGTCTGTATGAATATCAGGATAAGGTGGAATAGACATAATAAAGCCCTTTCGATAAGATCGAATATTTAAATGACCTTTCTAGATAATGTTTCGAATAAAATTGAAATTTCACCATGCAATGTAATAGATACACTAACTGAGGTATGTCATATTTTGCCAAATTTTGAGAAGGGAAGATAACGAGATTCAGAATGATGTCTATGTAAATAGCGTGGTGACAAAACACTCTTTTCAGTGACGTCAAGAGTTTAACTGGAGAATATAAAAGTAAATTCAAGGCCAGGAAGATTGTCAACGTTGATTATTAGGGAAAGATAACGAACATGTGTGACCTCTATCGCTTTCTGATGCTTTATTCGATATTCTAATGAAATGAAGTTCGTTTCGAACAATTGAACTAGAGTTAGGATGAGTGTTCAACCATAAATGAGAAGTACTTTGAAGTTTTTGCTCGTAGATTGTGATTAATGAGTTAGTAACATTAGAAATTCAACTTGACAAAATTACAATTTATATGAAGAACTTATTTAAATTTCTGTGTAATATTATATGTAGATTCTTCAAAATTAATTATCGACAGAATTAGTTTCTTAAAAAACTAGGAGGGCAAATAAGTACTAAGATAAACTATTTGTCACCCACGTACAGGATATCAAGATTATTTCTTGAAGTTTATTGATGAGTAAGTAACGTCTTACTGTCTACATCATTTTAACTGAATGCATATCTGTTAAAGTCCGTATACTGAAGTAAAAAATATTGACAAGAATATTTAAATGAATTGTAGTCTACTCCAATATTTTTGAGGAAGTACTTATTTACATTTATTTATACAAAAGTATTATAGTTAGAAGTGAGATATAGGATGAGTGTTTCGTCGCATGTGGGACTTGTTAAGTGGGTGTGCCGGCATCCATGTCAATGTTGACGCCGGAACTTATGAAGGACCAAATATATCAATACCAAAATAATGATAGTCATTGTGGAAAGTATAAAGACAACTGATAGTACACACAAATATAATCGCTCATAAAGAAAATATATGGGAAGTTGCTGAAATTGTCAGTAGGAAGCGTTTTCGGGTTTCGATCTCGTATTCCTCAAGAAGTAGTTGATAATTTACAATGGGATAGTTATAATTTAAGATGATGTATATCTGGAATAATCATGTAATGGGAATGTCAGTGTGATACGTGAACATAGGTAGCAAATAAACTATTGGTCCGTTGTCGCAAGAGATGGTAAGTGAGAGCCGAAAGTGTATGTGCAGCAGTGTATTTATGAGCAAAAACCAATGTGTCATGAGAACAGAGAACAAATGAGTAACGGAAGATCAATGTCATATTTAAACAGTCATTTTACAGTCAACCATGGTAGTCATAAAAATTATGTGAAACTATGAAAAATGCCAATAATGGCAAAAGTTACTTACAAAATAGGCTCCATAGAATCGAACCCAATACTATGCAGTTCAAATGTCCAAAACGTTATTCACTGAGCTAATGGGTCCAGGTTGCAGTTAACTGATTGAACGTGTATTACAGTTATATTATTGATAAAAAAAGGGAACGAATTATCTAATTGCTGATGTTATAGAAAGTGAAATTTAATCAGCCTTTGTAAGCAGATGTGCACTGCCTAGACTCATTATATGAAGTTAGGAATATTCTATGTGTTATAAACATACAAAATAATAACATACAAAACTGAATTTCGATAAAATATAAATTAGATGTATTTTTACAAACATAGAATATATCTGATCTGACTACTTGCAAGTACAATCCACGATACTATTATCTAGAGTAAAATTACATTTAAAGTGATGACAATTCTGAATATTTCATTTCCTACAGGTATATTTATAAAGAATAATTCATATGACGATAATTTTTTTAGGTAAAAGAAAAATGAGTCAGTTGAAGCTAGACCTCCACAAAAAACCTGGAAGCACTGAACGGTCGTTTCGTCCTATTGTGGGACTCCTCGGCAGTGCGCATCCACGATCCCGCCTCGTGAGGTTTGAACCCAGGACTTATCAGTATTAATTATATTTAGTTATAATTAAATTTCATTTGATCTCATCATAAAATTCAGTTTAACGTATTTTTCAGAAAGATTATGATAAGACACTTAAGATCCTCTTGAAAGGTTTTACTTTCATGTGGTAATCGTAATGATTGATGTATAAGGCCCATAAATTCTTGAATATTACAATGTCACGAGAATAGCGTTATATAGTTTTATTGAAAGCTTATTAATGGTGGTTATTGAATTTAGAAATAAACATGTTTGACTAATTTTAAAAGACTATCATTATGAATAGATTTATACTATTGAACATATATATTCAGCCAGTTTGTTGTTAAGTAAATCAAAACCTTATTTGTATTAAACACTTTGGTAGAGACTATAATTTATGGAAAACATTCGAGCAACACTAAAGTGACCTAAAGAATGTCCACCTGTTAACTAGGACGAGATGTGAGTTATAAACTAGTGCGAGAAATTAGAATTATGATTTACAGTTGATAGTTAAGGTTAGGAATGAGATTTAGAATTTTCATCACGAACTGATATCAGTTAAATGCTAAAACACTGTTTGGTGAAATGGATGAGTGAATTTCGCGCCAAAATCGGAGACCTATTATTTTATATCTGATTGGTTTGTTCATGAATTATAGTCTCACCACATTTTGTTGACTTATATATTTTGCCAGATTACATTAAGCTTAATTTATTGATTATTATTATTATTATTATTATTATTATTATTATTAGAAGCTTTATTCAACATTATATTTTTGGTACAACATAGAATTCTCAGCATAAAGTATTTCAACAAGTTTCCTTTTCTTATACCTTGATCTATTGTGACGATAAATTTTGAATGGTGACCGGTTAGATGTTAGGAGTTCGGTAATCCACATTTGATTAATGTTCATTCGTTTCAATGCATATTGCCAGCCACCATGATGTCGCTGATTGTACCTTTTTGTATCACGTATAGCGAAAGGTTGTAAACTTTTAATAAACGCGCCTGAATAGATTGTGCTCACAATAAACATAATGATGTGCTAAAACAAACAACAAAACAGATGACTTGATGAAATATCTAGATCAGAGGAACAGGTAGCCCAGATATTCAAGCAGGCCTCCTAATATATTTTCTTCTAGAACATTAATTTCTCAGTACTGTGGTTTGATTAAGAAGCAAAGCATTATTGTTTAGTATTTAGCATTACTATCTTGTCATACTGAACACTATAGTGTTGATGAATTTCATTCGATGTAATAATTAATTCATATTATTTCTTAAAAAATGAATCTTTCTAATGTAACCATCTCTTCAATAATCTTTATTTAACATAGATTGAATGTAAATATGAACGTTGTATGAAAGACAAATCACAAAAATATTTGATGATGAATTAGGAAAACGATGTTCTGTTCAGATCAATAATCAGAATGGATATATCAGTCTGAAAATAATTTACCATTGCTACCAATGATTTTATAATTTATCCATTTACTAATAATATTGAATAGCTTAAATTTTGTATTAACACATTAATCATCAAATTACACAACAATACGAAATTATATTATCAGAAAAATAGGAAACTTTGAATTTTGTTAATATGCTTGGTTAAACAACAATGTTACATATGTTGTCATAGATTTTTTATTTGATACCTACATGTTTTAAAAGATATTAGATATAATCTGTG